TAACGTTTTCTTAATTATAAATAACGGAGTCGCCAATATCCTGATAGTTTATCTTCTAAAATCCCACTGATTTTAGCCGCCGTAACACCACTTCGGTTAATATCACCAACAACAAACCATTTGTATGACGACTTTGTGCAAGTGCAACAAGGAATAAATGATAGTCAGATACCGCAAAACGTAAAAAACTCAGGCGCTGCTCACCAACAAACAAAATGAATTCTCGATCTAATGGAAATGTTGATTGTACAGTTAGTGGTGTATAACATATTTCTGTACCGACGTAGTTAATGATTCCGGTCATGATCTCAGTTTATAATTTATTTGACAAAACCACTCTTCTTCAGAACCAGTGTAAAGCAGTGGGCTACTAGTATTGTGCATTTCCGCACGAAACGAAAGCATTGCAAGTTTAACTTTTCTCAACAAATTCACAGTTTTTATTTTTAATTATTCAAAGACGGAGTTCAAAACAGTTCAGAAGTGTTTGTTTTAGATGCGTCTAATTAAGCACCTTTTAATATTTTTGAGAACGATAGTGCCACTGAAAGGATAGATAAAAATGTGAGAAAACCGGTTAGAGTTCTGCCTGCCTTTTAAAAAGCACCAACGTATTAGAGAACTACAATTCTTATATGCATTAACATTACTCATAATCGTCAGCAATGCTCAACAGCCAATTCAAACCCATTTACACTAAGTCTAAAATGAAACACTTTCCAGTTAACTTTAAAAACTTACTTTTTCAAAAGCTTTATTCACTACAGTCACGAATAAATACACCAATATGGGCTACATCAACCGTAATTTTCTAAGAATGAAAACCTTGCCCGTCTGGAAGCAAAGTGCTCTACATCTTAAAAGCAAACTCAGGTTGGATTTCAAAGCTCAAATCAATAAACTTACCAATAGAGAGAAGATCAAAGCCTAAAATGTTTTTCTGAAAAAAACCTGACAGTCATAAAGCCAAAAGAATCTTAAATGTAAATTAAAAAAAGCAAGTTGACAAAGACCAAAAACCATTATTACAGACAAAATTCACACAAGAAAATGTTACGCTACACCCATTCATAATGTAAGCATAAGAATAATTAGGCAGTAGTACTAAGTGAATTATGAATTTATAGTAACTTTGGGAATAGTTCGGTAAAATTAAAGTACGGACTCAAATGACGTTTCGTGGACTGTTTTTCAAGCTAAACAACAAAACTATAGGTATATATCAAAAATACTGTACAAAAAATGGTGAAAAGTTGAAGTCTGAGACTCTTGACAATAAAACAACTTCGTACACTAACTAAAAGTGTAGGAATTAAAAAATCACCACCTCGAAAGCTCATCACTGTATTCCTCAGCACTGTAAAAGGCTGTCCCAACAGACCTGAAACAAAATTTTCTAGCTATAAGTAATATTTGGCTCTTAAACTAACTTGAAAAATAAAACCAGTACTGTAAAATTATATAATGGCAAAATATACCACTGGATCGTTTAAATCAATCACCTTAACGAAAAAGACGTAAGACAACCGCCCAAATTAGCAGCTGAATAATTTAACAAAACACTCACTTTATCATCGCTACTCCACATAGTAAGCACTCCCCAGTGATCATATCGCTTAATTTTAAACGAATCTTTGCCAGATCTTCGCGAATTTCTGAAAGCGTAACATAAATTATATCAAAAAATCACATTTCTAGTTACTTTTTAACCAACTCAATAAGCTACTGAAAACCTAAAAAACTATTCCAACTTATTTCCTTAATATTTCTAATTGTCCATCAGGTTAGACGAAAAAACCATAAAACTTCGTTACCGTTAAATGGGAAGTCTACTCACCGCGTTGTTTCTTTAGCGGCTGAGACATGCCTTTACCAGCATCATCTAGCATTTTCTGTAAAAGCTTTTCTTTGTCCCGTAATATGCGATATTCCGACGTTTCCTCCTAAGCTTTTTTTGTAACTTATAAATTTATGAAAACGAAATTTCATTATACTGTCCCGCCTCAGTTTAAACAAACACATAAATAATTAAAAATATTTTGCTTTTCATGAAAAAACCGTAGTAAGCTAGGAAGGAAAAATACACGCCAAGCGATTATTTAGGTACTTTGCTGAATGACGCAATAGATTCTTTTTCAATGCAATCTCGATGAAAAAAATGTTTGCAATTAAACGCATAAAATGGACGATCCATAACAAGTGAGTCGCAAAGTGAACAGTGGTCGGAACCTCTAATTATAACCAGCCTGAAACCAGTTCCGAAAGTTTGATGCAGTAAAGTTCTAAGAACTAACCTTTTACACAAATGAACTATAACAAATGGTACTAACTTCTTCTTCAACTTTTCAGACATCATTCGAACTTGCTGAGCAGTTTCAGTAGCTTCTTTCATTTGTCGCTGGATTACCTGTAAAATATCATATGAAAAGAACACAAAAAGTCAAATTTACTGTTTATTCAATGACAAAAACTTCACAAGCCTTACTTTGATTTTCCCTGAATGTTCCCTGAGACACTTACACAACGGTTCCTTAAAGTGTCTGATGCTCGCAAAATCAGGAAAAAATGGAAGAACATCCTAAAAAGCATAACAGCAAAAGTTCTGAAGTTAAAGTATAGAAAACCACAGTTATTCAAGAAAAATAACTTGTCAACAAGTATTTAAAGAAAAAACAAATTATTCTTTGATGAAGTACTATTTTTATGGCTCATTTGTAGAACCACATTAACATATAAAATTTGTGCTGTCTTCATGACTTTATGATTCTGAACATTACTTGTATCTTTAGGGCATCATCAGACTCTTTCAAGAGGTCGATACAAGCAACAACATCTTTTTGCACTTCAATAATGTGCCTTGCTGAAATTAAAAATAACAGCAGCCTTTGACTAAGTTTTTGACAGGAAACAACCATTTATTTATAAAGAGAGAACGTGGTAATAAAAAACCCTCTCCACCGTCACGTTTTTACCAGATACAACTAAATATTACCAATTTTTAGCCAAACGTTTCTTCTGGCTTCTAATGCCAAGTCCTGCTTCTGCTCAAAAAATTCATAAATACTGTCGTCCCTGTCATCTTTCATCCGTTTCGCACACTCCTTTGCTAAGTCTACGTCGATCTAAAACTGCTATTCTAATAACCAAAAATTTAAAAAGAACAACAAACACCAATGACGCATCATTCCATTCAAATATAAACGCCAAATTGGTGACTAAAAGAGAGAAGTTAGGAAAAAAATTTACAGTTAATGCTAGAGAAACCGCTTCGTCGTAAAGTCCATCAATGCAGTAGAGGAATACTGAGCACTGTTTTAGTTCTGTCATAAAGTCATAATTAAGAAAAATAAACAGTAAAATCTACAAAAACAAAAATAAAATTTAAATCAAAACTCAAAAGTTTAAATACCTTCTTTTTCTAAACAGATACGCAGGGCATATTCTACGTCATACGGAACTTTACTTTTGTCGTAACCAAAACCCGTCAAATAAGTTAAGAGTTCTTCAGTCTTGTATCTGAAATTTATATAATGTAGGCTGAAAGAAAAAAATGTTACGGCTAAATATTAATTTACAACCAAGCCTATGATCAACTATCAGTTAAAAAAACGCTAATGAACACCTAGACAGCAAAGTAATCATGAAATTGTGAACTGGTTTTGAAGCATTGCTCCCTTGAATAATTTTCTTTAAATACTGGAAAGCGGCGGCAACCTGGAAATAAAAACGTCGTAAGGTCAATACCAAAAAAAAAATACTAGAACCATTCTCAAGCCAATACAGTAAGTGATATAACAGCCATAAAAACTTAAAATTCCTACATAACGCTCAGTAAACAACTATATCTGGCAAAATTACTGCTTATTAATTACTATTCTGTCACAATCTGTAAAAACAGATACCATCTTTGGATTCTGCTGACAGCGGTAAAGTGCTGGAAGCAATTTTTCTGGCGACAAATACTTCTCCCTCTCAATCCATAAATTTACTAGTTCAATTGGTACGTGTTCAATGAGAATTGGAGAATACTTGTAGAAATACTCCGGATTAGACTAAAGATTACTTGAAATTATTATGTATTAATATATCTTGCTTGAACTTCAGGGTCACATAATAAATCAATCAAAAAAGAATTATTATACTAATTTTTCCTAATTGAAGTCAATAACTTCTTTAAACAGTTACAGAAAACGATAAGCCAAAAATAAAGTAACATCATTTTAAATAACCTGAAGAGCGATAATTTCCAATGCCTCTTCATATTTCATTTGTAGGAAATATATGTCTAACGTGGTTTTCACGTCTAGAAACAACTTCTTATTACATTTTTTCAAAAAGTCAGTTTTTCAACTTTTCTCAGAGTGCAGCAATCGCAAAAAGCACAAATGCGACTAAAATTTTTAAAAAGGACCAACCAGAAACTTTAAAATTTCAAAACAACCTTTCAACTTTCTGGCTAAAAAGAGTTGGCTATCAAAATCAGCATGTGATATCATTAAACGGTATACTGCATCTCGGCCTTCGTTTAACACTTCCTAGAAGTAATAGAAGGTAGACACCAAAGCATCCAATAAACACAATAAGAACCAAAGTGATGCAATAAAACGTGGCTGAACTAACTATGAAAAATAGGATACATG